ATTGTGTCTGTGTGTTTTTTTCCCTCCTGAAGTGGTTTGACGCTCCCAGGGCCTGGCGAGGGCCCCCCCGAGGCCGGGCAGTCTCCAGGAGCTCCCGCCGCGAGCGGGAGAGCCGCGCGGGGAGGTCGGGGCCCGCCTAATTGCCCCCTGCGCGCGCGAGAGCCCGCGGCCCGCCCGAGCCCTGGGAGGAATGGCGCACGGGCCGGGCTGGTGCGGAGGTCCCCCACCCTGACCTTCCAGAGAGCTATTTTTTAACACTGGAAACCTAAAAACCTAAAAAACGAGACGAAACAGCCTAAAACCAAGACGTAAAATAGCTCTGGGATCGGTTTTTACGTCGGGTGTTATTTTTTAGCCCTCCTGGAAGGTCAGGGCAGAGGATCCCGGAGGCCTCCAGGAGAATACCAGGCACGAGAGCGCCCAAAGTTCTCGACGCTCGGATCTCCTGCTCGATCCCGGGCCGCTCTCCTGGCCCTGCGCGCGCGCGTCCGCGCACTGCCCGAACCCCGAGAGGAACGGCGTGCGGGCCCCCAGAGGAACCTGGAAACGGCTGCCAGTTGGAAGAAATGTCCACCGATAGCCCCGTGTTGACGATCGCGGGCCCTCCACCCGCGTGAAACGCTGCCCGAGTTTGGAGGCTCGTGCCAAGTCACTTCGAAGACGCGCCGTGCGAGAGCTCTGGGCAGCTGCCCACAACTTCGGGGCTCGGAGGCGCGCGCGCGCGCGCAACGTCCTGCCCGAGCCCCGACACGAAGGGCGTGCACGCCATGCTGATGCTCGTGACGGTCAGCAGCAGCTTCGCCTGCTCCGGCGTGAAGACGCCCACGTCGCGGGCGATGCTGAACATGACGAAGGAGAACTCGCCGGCCTGGCCTCGGCGCGCCCGAGGACCTCCCAACGTTGAAGGGGCCCTGGAACACACAAATAAATAGACACAAATAAAAGGATTCCCATATTTTCCCATATTTTCTGGGTTCTTGTCTTCCCCCCCACTTCCCATATTTTCCCATATTTTCCTGGGGATCGACGATTAATTGTGTCTGTGTATGTGTTTTTTCCTCCTGGTCGTCGCTTTCAGGCTTGAGGGGGGGGGGGGCCGCCTCGCAGGGCCGCGGGACCGTCAAGCAGGGAACTCACTGGGGAGAGCAAAAGTGAAGGGCCCTGGGACACACAAATAAATACACACAAATAAAATGATTCCCCATATTTTCCCATATTTTCTCGGTTCTGGTCTTCGCCCCCACTTCCCATATTTTCCTATATTTTCCTGGGGGTCGACGATTAATTGTGTCTGTGTGTTTTTTTCCCTCCTGAAAAAGGCACCGGTTCTCTCCCGGGGTGCGTTCTGACCAGAAGCTCGAGGCGAATCCAGCGGTGTCGACGAGGGCGGCCCAGGAGCCCGAAAAAGGGGGAATCGAGGAAAAGGTAGAAAAGATTGGGGTACCCTTTCCGCCTCTGACTCACGGTCGAGATCGCGGGGAGGGGGACGAGGCGCGAGCCAGGACACCGGACACCCTTCCCGCCCGACTCATCCAGTTGATCCTCCCCATTCCCCCGGCCTCCCAGTCCCCTCGTCCCCCGTCCTCGCTGACATCCCCCCTCTTTCCTCCCTGCTTCTGTTCGGGCTGCCCCAGCTGCTCGTCCGCCGACAGAGACTAAAACGAAGGCGGGAACCACACCCGCATCTAAACACAAACGCTTGTTGTTTCTTCCCACCGCAGTGTGGACAGTCATTGGGTCCGATTGCACTTTGGAAGGTGTTCTACGACAGTGCTGATGAACCACACAAAGAACCATTCAAACAACAATCGAATGTCTAACAAACGCGTGCCAACGGAATGAAAATCCATTGGATGCTTAATGTTGTGTTGAGAAGGCTCAAGCTGTACTTGGTTGTTCGGCGCAAGCGTCACGATCGGCGTGAAGGTGCGTCAACTTGGCGACACTTTGAGGAAGTCCAAGCGGAACGCTCAGACACAGCGCGGACGGTGTCACCGATAATCATATTTAACCTCTGCTCCCTCTGAAAGCAAAACATCATACTACTCTCGCCAGCGTGGACCCTAAACCGTGGGACTGCAGCAACTGATACAGGTCTATGTGGTGCAAGGTCCGTGGCGGAATCTGTGCATGCAGCCCACGCGATGCGCTCTACCAGGCGCGATGTATGGGATGCGATCTGTGTTGTAAGCGGTGCGCGGTCTACGTTAGCTACATACAAGATTCAATATACGTGGTGCAGCTGATCATTCTGCACCGCGCGTGAGGGAGAGAAGGGTGGAAAGAGAGAGAGAGAGAGGAGGAGGAGGAGGAGGAGGAGGAGGAGGAGGAGGAGGAAAGAGGAGGAGGAGGAGGAGGAGACCACCTCCCACGCTCGTGCAGACATCCCACCCTCCCGCCCGCATCTTGGCCGGCAGCACTGCAGAATGCAGAGCATATCGCGACTGCAGCTGCAGCCGGGAGCTCGCCCGCAAACTTCGTCGAGTTCACTTAGGGGGCCACATGCGAACCCTACCCCTACCCCCCACGATTTCTGAGGGGAGGGTGGGGTTCACTTCGCTCGAGAGCTCCCGAACGAAGTGAACCCCACCCTCCCCTCAGAAATCGGGGGGGGGGTAGGGGTAGGGTTCGCATGTGGCCCCCTATCAATGGCACGCGGACCCTCGTGGCGCGGGCAGGGTCGATTTTGCGGGCCGCGCCGCCCCCCAGCACGCGCGCACGGCCGTTCGAATGGCGTCGGCCTGCGGCGCGAGAGGTACGTTTTGACAAAGACCATGACCATGGTGAGAAACCGATGGGTGTCTCGAGAGTTCGCAGGGCCGCGAGCGCAGGCTGTTCTGACAACTGCTGCTGCGAAACCACATGTTTCTACATGGTTTCGGGGCGCTCAGTTTTGAACGCCTTACGAAATCTACGGTGTTTGAGCGATTTCGGCATGCGCGCGCGACGGCGCCCGCGCGTGCACTTCGCCCCGCTTTTTGCAAAAACGGAATATTGCGACAGCCCGCGCGCCAGCGCGTTCGAACGATTTCGAAACCCGCGCGAGAAACCTGTTTGCTTCCATGGTGGCAAACACCTTTTGTTTTCTCCAGCATTCGCAGGACAGCACCCGCAGGTTTTGTTCTGAACATCCTTGCAACGGAACAATGTATTCTTTTATGTTGTTTGAACACTCGGTTTTGGATTCCTTGCGAACCCTAGAGTTTCGCAATATTCAGGCATGCGCGCGCGACGACGCGCGCGCGTGCACTGCGCCCCATTTGTTGCAGGGGATTCTTGGCAACGGATGATTCTTGATAGACGAGAGACCGCGCAGCATGCTATTTGACAGGGGTGGTGGGGGGGTGGGGGCGTTGCCAACCTGGCTGGGATGGTATCATTTCATCTCTAGGATGGACGATGAGGCAAGATCGCATGCAAATTGCAATGCGAAAAAGTGACCCGTTAACCCCGCGGGCAATGGGGGATCGACCCCAATCCTGATTTTAGAAAGGAGAATCAACGTGGTGTAATTTATGTGGAGCACTCTAAATGGCGCCATGCGACCCGGGAACCTCGATCTTGAAACCCGCGCAACACCGAAGGTGTTTGCATGATGTTGGCATACGCGCGCGCGACGCCGCGCGCGTGTGGTGTCTGTCAACGATGGTGCGAAGAGTTCTTGCGCAATGATGGAAAAGGGCCGGTAAGCGGTCCCCGTAAGTTGTGTGAATTTCACACTCAGAATTAACGATTGGGCCACATTCTGTGTAGAGCAAACCCATCCCAGGGGGGCGGGGGTGGTAGATCCGACTTCCTTGCTATAAAAAATCGATGCGGTGCAATCTATGCGAGGCGGCGATGGGCGGCGAGGGCGACAACATCGCCGCCAGACCGACGGTCAGGCCCTGACAACGGGCGGCGACGAGGCGGCGACGGCAACGGCTTAGCCGCCAGACCGCCCGACATGCCCAAACGACGGGCGGCGACGAGGCAGCGACGGGGCGGCGACGGCGACGACATGGCCGCCAGACCGCCCCTCAGTGGGCGGCGACGTGGCGGCGACGGCGATTACCTAGTCGCCAGACCGACCATTACGCTCGGTTCCTCAGAGCAGAAGTCAGAAACCCTAAGTGCAAGTATCTTTTGGAGAACATGCATTATACATACACGATTATGTGTGAATGTGTAGATGTATGAGAAAGCTTGTGATCAGTAAGGACCTCCTCGACATGAGTGCTTGCAGTTGCATACGTACATGCATACATACATACATGCATACGTACATACATGCATGCATGCATTCACACACACGTACACATACGTACACATACGTACACATACCTATACATGCATACATGCATGCATGCATGCATGCATGCATACACATACATACATACATACATACATACATACATACATACATACATACATACATACATACATACATACATACATACATACATACACACATATACATACATACATATATACATACATACATACATACATACATACATGCATACATGCATACATCTGTGCATATATATACACATACATACGTACATGCATACAGGCAATCATGCATACATACATACATACATCCATCCATACATACATACATACACACACATACATACCCACCTACCTACCTACCTACCTACCTACCTACATACATACATACATACAAACATACATACATACATACATACATATGTACAGACTGACAAGCAGGCAGGCAGGCATACGGACAGGCAAGCATACGGACGGACGTACATGTATACATGTATGTACACATGTATAACTATAGCATAGACATGCATTCACCACTTCCAAACAAACATCGATATCCACCGCCTGGCCAGGTCCAGGAAAACCTATTCCACCGCCTGGCCACGTCCACCCTCACCCCCCGGCGGTACCCCCCGCCCGAGGGCGCGGCACAGCAGCAGCCCGATCTGCTGGGAGATGGCAACGCTGAGGCCGAACAGGCGGCAGACGCACGTCGCCACGGCGGCCTT